AATTTTTAATTTTAAATTGAGAAGTCAAACCTGAAAATTGAGCTCTTCCTGTTCCAACATTTTAATTCTAAATTGAAAAGTCCGACCTGAAAATTAAGCTTTTCCTTCTTAAAATTTTTTCAATTGAGAAGTTGAGCCTGAAAAAATGAAGTGTTTCCTTTTTAAATTTTAAATTTTGAGTGTGAATGAAATATTCTTAATTCAATTGAAGATTCTGGGAGTCGGTTCTCGGGGGCCCAAAATCAATTTGAGGTGATTGAAAAGAATTTGGGGTGAAAAAATTCCCCGGGAGCCGGTTCCAGAAATGAGTGGAAATTATTTAAAAATTAGTTTAAATTCTTAATTGTTTTAAAATAGTGAAATATTTAACAATTTTAAAATATTATAAAGATAGTCTCAATTTTAAAGAGGGTTCAAATAATATAAATTGGATTCAAATTGTCATTTCAGGGGGGGCTCGACCCCATTGACCCCTCCCCCCCCTCTCCCGGGGGGGGTGGGACAACCCCCTGGTGACAAGGACCCCCTGGTGATGGGACACCCCCCGTGTTGGGACACCCCCATGACAAGGACACCCTGGTGGTGGGACCCCGTGGGGACATCAACATCCCCCGTGATGGGACACCCCGGTGGTGGGACCCCCCCAGGGTGGGACCCCCCCGTGTTGGGACACCCTCGTTAAATTGAGAAGTCAAACCTGAAAATTGAGCTCTTCCTGTTCCAACATTTTAATTCTAAATTGAAAAGTCCGACCTGAAAATTAAGCTTTTCCTTCTTAAAATTTTTTCAATTGAGAAGTTGAGCCTGAAAAAATGAAGTGTTTCCTTTTTAAATTTTAAATTTTGAGTGTGAATGAAATATTCTTAATTCAATTGAAGATTCTGGGAGTCGGTTCTCGGGGGCCCAAAATCAATTTGAGGTGATTGAAAAGAATTTGGGGTGAAAAAATTCCCCGGGAGCCGGTTCCAGAAATGAGTGGAAATTATTTAAAAATTAGTTTAAATTCTTAATTGTTTTAAAATAGTGAAATATTTAACAATTTTAAAATATTATAAAGATAGTCTCAATTTTAAAGAGGGTTCAAATAATATAAATTGGATTCAAATTGTCATTTCAGGGGGGGCTCGACCCCATTGACCCCTCCCCCCCCTCTCCCGGGGGGG